TGATAAGTGCACTCATCCCTACGGAGAATTATTTGTAAATTGTTTCGAAGGAGTGCTGGAATCGCTCCATAGCTGATCACATTAATTCATCATGCGATAATATATATAGAGTTATTGCCAACACCTCTCACAAAGTCGTTCTGGATGAGCCATGAAGTCGAGCCATGAAGTCCATGATGAAGTCCATGATTTCTGTGTAGTTCCTTAAACAAATCGGTGAATACCGCTTATGCCATGCATAACATATTGCTAAATTTCGTTAGGTGGCCCACACGCAACTCCGCAACACATTTGTCGCCAACATATGAGGATGTCATTCAAGGGGAGCGTTTTATGTATGAGTTATAATATTCATACGTCAAGCATACAACAGCCGCAACTCTCCATCTGCGTCTTTCTCTAGTTGAATCAATGTATTTCATTATCGAAGTGACTAACATATAAGCATCAATGAATTAGCTACAATCATATAAGATTACGTACAAAACTTACATAAACAAGTAATATTATAGAAGTAAATAGAAAATATAACGAGGAATGAAAAACTCCAAAGTAACATGCCCAAAGCAACATAAATACTCAAAGTGTCATGAAATACCATAAACAAATAGAAATGTATCACAAGAATCTAATTAAAAAAATGTCCCTCAAATGTCTCTGTTCCCATAAAAATAACGTAGGTAAGATGCTCTACGGTTAGCGAGCTTCACTATGAAAAACCTCTTTCCAGGTCGAATCTTCAAGCAACTTCATAAAGAGCAAATACAACGACCTGTCCTCGAAAATTTTTGGAGTTGCATCCATAATTTGCATAACCTGTAGGATAGAAGTTGCTTGTGATGTGCCGGAGTCATTAGTGCATGAAGCCATCAACCGTGAGATCTGACTTCTAAAGAAAGCAACCCTCACTTTCTTTTTTTTTCAACCCGTGGATGCTTTGGCCAGCTCGTGGACTCAACTTCACGGAGGTCCGAGCTGGGGTCTTCAATGGAATCACCTATTTGGTCAGCTCCCAAATATTTAGGGATTCCACCAAACCCCATCTCACTGGGAGTACATGCATTGTTGCTTGTTGACACACCTCCAAACATACGATCCAATTTCACCTCCAACTCAGGATTGATTCCACAATTTTTAAATTTTTGTTGCAACAAACACCGCCTACATTATAATATGTAGAATTTAAAAACAAATTAAAAATTAACAAAAATATAGGGCGACAATTCAAAAATGTTCACCACCAGTCTCTCTGTTCACTACTTCTTGGAAGCATCAATTGTTTGCTTTACCGGATCCCACCCGAAACTCGTTGATCTTCACTTCAATTCCTTCCAGAGTTTCCAATCTTTATTTGGCTGATCCCATTTATTTTTTAACTGTATTCTATCATATTTTATGCTTGTATTTTACTTGAATTTTCGAATAATATTTTGTTAGCCTTTCTTATTGAAATAGGTTGTCGCCTATTTCCTAGATTGGGCTCCTTGAGGCAAATGTCGTAAAATATTAATTTTATCTCTTTGTTCCACATTGCAGATGAACCGACCTCTCTTTTCTTAACCATTGTATTACTAGCATGAAAAAAACTAATTAACATAAATAGGAATGCCACTAACTCATCCACCACACCACCACCACCACCTCCACACTCCAACACCTTCAGACAAATACAATCACACTCTAACCACCACCTCCATAACTATACACCACCACCTCCACACACCACCACACAGACACCACTAGACACCACACAGAAACCACACAGACACCCACACCCACACCTCCACACAGACACAACCACCTCCACACCAGCACATCAAGACACGAGCACATTAAGACACCAGCACCTCCACACAGACACCACCATCTCCACACACCACTACACAAACACCATCTGACACCACACAAACACCACCTCCATACACCAACACGTCAAGCCACCAGCACAAACACCACCTGACACCGCAACACAAACACACCTGACACCACACAAACACCATCTCCATACACCAACACATCAAGCCACCAACACCACCACTTCCACACACCACCACACATACACCACCAGACACCACACAGACACCAACATTTCCACACAAACATCATCACCTCCACACACTAGCACCTCCAGACACCACAACCCCCACACAATAGCACCTCCACACAGACACCACAACCCCCACAAACCTTCACACAGACACTAACACCTCCACACACCAACCACACACGAATCACCATCGCACTACCTCATAACCAATGCCACACCACACCACCTTCTCAAAACCAAACACCAACCACCTCAAAGCCACCAACCACCAACATCAATAGCACACCACACCACTCCGCCATCTCCACATCACCTTTTCCCACAGCACACCACCACCTTCTCACAACCTATGACCAAAATCAACATCATCTTTCATCCATTTTTCAAATTCTCACAAAAACATCGTAGATAATGATTGAACCCCTTCCCATATTTTTTATTTGAGGCAATTATATATAGACACCCGAAAGATTGCTATCTACAAATGAATCACTTTCTTTCATTTGAGGCAATTACTAACAGGGCTCCCATATTTTTCAAATTCTCAGTGGTTACATACAGGGCACCCGAAATAGTGCTATCCACATACAGGGCACCCGAAAAAACCTACTTCGAATCCATATTTTTCAATTGAGGCAGTGACATACATGGCACCAAAATAGTGCTTTCTACAAATTAAGCTCTTCTTTCATCCATTTTGCAATGCAGGGACATACATGGCACCCGAAATAGTGCTATCTACATGCAGGGAACCCGAAATAGTGCTATCTACATACAGGGCACCCGAAACACCATACCTTGAAATTCTACAAAGCACAAAACTTGCAAAACCCGCAAAATTATCACAATAACCATAGATGAGAATGAGAAAGCCACAAAATGAGAATGCTCAGGACCGATTCCACAAAATTCTCACAAAACTTTACATACCGCAAATGAGAAAGCCACAAATCGCAAAGAGAAAGCCATTTCATCGAAAATGAGCACATGAATTTCATACCGCGCACAATAACGAAAGATCAGAGGGAAAAGAGAGGTAATATGTACGTGAAGAAATGCGGGCCGCGGGATCGAACCCGTGGCCTCGTAACATTGATTATTTAGGAACGTTACCGCATTGCTGTTTCCAAACGGATGAAACCATGTTTTTAAAACGCACCGTGCCAAAAAAGCTGCTCCAAACGGACCCTTACTTTAGTACCAAAAACATTGCAAAGTTGTTGAGATTGAGACAAAATTACATGAACTCCGACAAAAAGATTTTAGTGTGGCTCAATACTTCAACACACGTAGAAAGTATTTGTTACAGTTAGTTATGTATGATACTTATGTACGAAATTGCCCTTAAAATGCTATGTTATATAAAACAATAGTAAAAAAGAAGAGGATGATTAAGTTCCTTTTGGGTCTAGATAAGAACTTAGATGATGTCTGAGGAAGAATTATTGGGATAAGGCCTCTCTCTATCATGAGGGAAACCTTTGCTGAAGTTAGAAGAGTAGAATGTAGGAAGAAGCTCATTTATATTTTTATCACTAGACTATACATCTCTTTTGTTGTATAAGATGTGAGTCAACACATACAATCTCAAAATATAGACATTTGAAGCTATTATCTTACTAAGTAAAGGACTTGTGAACTAAATATGGGCATTTTAATGTGTCAGCCTTTTTTTATGTTGGCTACGTTGGACCAACTGGTGATAGAAAATCTGTATCTGGTTTATGTATGTTTGTTGGAGGTAACTTAGTCATAGTCACATTGAAGAGTAAGAAATAAACCGTGGCAGTTTGATGAGTGCTAAGGTTTTTTCTTGGATAATTTATTTTTTCAGTTGCTCAATCCATGGTCTTTATAGATAAAATACAAAATTTTTTCTCTAAATGGTGCTAATGGGATGTGCTTTATCAATATCAATTGATAAGTTGACATAAATCTTGATGCACTCAGTTTTGTGGGAGTTGGAAGGTCTGCCATCTTGCTCAAATCTCATTGTATATGATTGCCACAAACCAATTATGATCCCTTTAATCGAACAGTTAGAATTAGTAGGGAGCTAATTGTAATGCCATGCTAGTTGTAGAACATAACTGAAACTAAAAAAAATTAAAGCTTGCTAAAATTAATTGCTACTTTTTCTTACAAGTTGACTCATTTTCCTCGAATTATAGTTGACTCGAGTTAATGATAAATGCATTTAATGTATATGCTATGAAATATGTGTAACATATGTTGCAAAATATTTTGGCTATGGAGTGGAAGGTTAAGGGCTTTTGGGAAGGTGTTTTAGATGAGTGATTAATAAAAATGGAACTTGTCCTTGTAGATAAAAAATCAGTTTCTAGCCGACTTGGTTTGATTTTGAATACATCCGACATCAAATAATTTGAAGCCTTGTTTGCTCAACTGTAGTAAATTTAATTCGAGACTGAGTTCAAGTCGAACTGGACTCCAAAAATTTGTGTTTTGATCAAGCTATGATTGAAATTTTTAATTTTGTGTTTAGCCAAATCACTTGAATTCAACTTTATTTTGGCCCTGATGAGGTGTTCGTTACTGTATAGGGCCATTCTTAGGATTCAGCAGCATATGCTGAGTTTTCGGGTCCAGGTGGTTACCGGATGCACTACTCACTTTTTATTACACATTGTTATATATATAAAATACAGATATTTCACAAATTAAAATGTTTTTTTACATGCTACATTTTTTTGAGTTTTTTATTGTTAAACAATACAAAAGTTGAAGTTGTAGTACCACATTGTTGAAATTTGATTTATAAATTATAATAAAGTTTGATATAATATATTCATTTGTTTCAGATCGATTAAACTTAGTTGTGCCATTTTAATTTCGTCTTTACTCTTTACTTTCATAAATGTCTTTATTGCAGCTCATTAAAATTTTGGCTCAATTTGATTCAATAGATTGCACTTTTATTTAATTATTGCAGCTTCTAGAAAAGCAACGCTTGATAGATTTTGCTGAAGCTCTTCGAAGTAAGCTGGTCTATTTTGATGAATTGGAGAACGTAAGTATCAGTTGCTGCTTCCCTTCCAGCATCATATTCATATCCTTGAAATTTTCATTGTAGCTGTATATTTATATATGGATCGAATTCTTTCCAAATAAAATCCCCGGCTGCTAACTTCTACAAATTTTAGAGACTTCTGGCAATTTCTTATTATTCTAAAGATACAAATTGCAAAGCTTACGATGGAAATCAGACAGATAGGTGAATTTCTTTTGACTAGAAACTTTGTAAAGTTATTGTCAATTTCAAGATGATACACATGGCTTGGATTATTTAAATATTATTGGGAGCTGTTCACTATTTCTGATAGGAGGAATGTATTATTGAATGAACTCTTATACGTGCTAAATGAGTACACAATGCATTAGTTGTCGGTAATTAAAAGGCAAAATGTTGGTCCCTAAAGGGTATGGCATATTTTCATTGTTATGTAAGTTTCAAGTAAATCTCAATCAGTAGTATTCTGAAAACGCAAATGTAGCATTACAACTTTTACCTTACAATCTTTATCCAGTTAATGAATCATATACATGTAATTGAATATTGTGATCCTGATAAACCTGTTCTGAATTGTACATTGTTTTACAAACAGATCGCCTAACTATCTTCCCAATATTTTTTTAAGTTTTTTAAGATCATGTACATACCCATACATGCTGGACTTTGAACTCCGGACTTTGTGTGGGTAGAGACAAAGTATGTAAACATATCAAGTCAAGTGAACTGCACATGTACTAAGCCTTTTAAGATACAATAGAAATAATATTTAATGATGTGATTTTATGCTTGTATAAAATTGGTTGCTACCAATCAATATTTTCTACAAATCCATAAAATCAATGGAAGACAAGATGATTAAATTTATTAAAGATTTCTCATGAATAGATGGTTAAAATAGTAAACAATTTATTTAATTTTGGGGATCGATAGGTCTCATAACAGCAAGATCTTTTAATAAACTTTGTCATAAATATATGATTCCAATAGCACTCTTAGCTATAGTCAATCAAAAGCAAGTAGTGTTCATTGAACAACTTTCCTGTTAAAAATTGAGAAAACATCATATTTTTTTTTAGAAATTACTAATTATTATCCCGTAATTCATGATTCACTTTCTTTTTGTTTCAATAATATATACTACAATATTTGATCATGTAGTATACATGAAATATCAAGGAGTTTTTGACAATAAATGTAGAGAATGCATTTTGTGTATTCCATTTCAATATTAAAATTTCTGCAATATCGGAAAAAGCTTAATAAGAAATTATGAATATAATTAATTGCAAAATAATTATAATAATTTACAAATGGATGAGTAGGTAATAAAGTTTTTACAAATCAATGAGGTGACTGCGAAAGAGGACGGAAAGTGTGTTGAAGTCTTTGTGGGCATGGTTCCTAACTAACAAAAATTTATGCAGTTGTTTCACACTCCATTTGAATTGTATGAATGGATGTTATCCATTCCAAGTTTTGATAATTTTTGTAAGATTGTCCTGAATAAGCTTTTGATTAAACGCTCAGCAAGTTTTTCATTTGTGGTTATGAATGGAGTATATATTAGATCATTATCAAGCTTCGCCTTTATAAAATATCTCTTAACTTCAATATGTTTCTTGATCTTAGTGTTTGGGATTATGTGCAATATTGATGGCTGACATATTTTCATAAAAAATAGGGCCTAAGATCTTTTCTTTCAACCTTTAAATCTTTTGTAATAATTTTTGGCAAGAACAATTTGCAGTTTCTCTGTGCTGTAGATTTAAATTCACTTTTGGCATTAGATCTTGCTATCTCATATTTTTTTACTTTCTAAATCATAAGCTTTCCTCCAAAAAATGTACTATACTATGAAGCTTACCTTCTGTCAATCATATTACTTACATAATATATCTGTTTATACTTCGAGTGGCCAATTCTCCCCCCATTTGAATAAAATTCTTTTGCTTGATTTCCATTTAAATAATTTAGAATTCTATTTTATATCCTAAGATTTGTTTCTTTTGAAGTATGCATGAATTGACTCTCTAGACCAACAATATAGGTAATGTTTGGTCTAGTTTGTGATTAATAAATAAGTCTTCCCACTGGTCTTTAATAAGATATTTTAAGTATCTATGTTTTCTTTTGAAGTATCTGGAAGTTTATGAATGAATTTTATGGTGCTCTTGAAAAATTTGCATTCTCATTTCTCTTTTTCAACAGTTCGACTATGTATGTTGTGAGATGTCGAAAGTGTGTAACTTCAAGGCCAACGAATCATTCTAGTGTGTCTGATTCTTTGACATCAAGTTATTAGAACAATATTTTTATTTGAATCCTCCATCTTTTCCAAGTCACTATCAGTTATGATAATGTCTTAAACATAATGTAATAGTGTAGAGACTTCCTTTGAAGCTATATACTTCACCAATAATACTTTGGAAAACCTTCCAAAACTTGATTTTAGAAGTATTAATGTCTCCTTAAAATTTATTTGTATTCCATGTCGAGTATTACTTTGGAAAACCTTCCAAAACTTGATTTTAGATATTACTTCAACATATACAATCCCTTATAGCTTACATATCTTTTATTCTACAACAACAACAACAACAAGCCTTTATCCCACTAAATGGGGTCGGCTACACGAATTCTTTTTCTTTATTGTGTCCCGTTAAGTTTCAAAATTTCATAAAATTCTAATAGATTAAGATTATTTTTTGTATAATATGCTTCCCCGACCCGCATTACCCAACTATTTTGTTTACTGGCCAAAAACTTGACCCAGTTTCTTTAGGTGGCTAGTGTGCAAAATGGATATGTTATAGAGTTTAGATTTTGATTAATAGTTTACACACGAAGGGTTCTACGCAACTATACGTATCATTAAGTAATATATGACTCTAATGGAGTCTCGATTATTGATCCCAGAGAGAAGTGAGATAAGAAACCCCTTAGGCTAAGTTCTAGTTTACTACTATGATGTCTTAGTTTGGAATGTTGATTAAGTGTGTTTTTCTAACAACTGCTCCTAAATACAAGCTTAAATCTAACGTTAAACCTAACTAGATAAATTGGTTTGGTGAATTTTGAGGTATAAAAACTACTTTTCTCTTGTGGTGACCTAGATAATGTGTAAGAATGAGATGCTTAGAATCTAATGTGGTCAGTGATAATAAGATGCAAAAATTTAAGTTACCTACTTCCGAGTGTATAATGTAGCTCAGTTAACCTAGGGTCGATTTCTTAAAATAACTAGATTATCAATGCGAAACTTCTAGCCTATCACCCTAGAGTCTCCTTCTCCTAATAACCCTCTAATTGGCTTAATCATATATTTGAGGTACGAAACCCTGGATCAAATTGGTTAGGAATCTAGCCAGTTACTCTAGAATCACCAATTTGCACCCATCAACGAATATCTCCCTAACATTGCATTGCATCCTTAGACTTCTTTTCCGTCACCCATAAGTTCAATGTGGTTTCTCCTAGTTGTTAAAGCCATAGGCTTTTCGGAACTTGTGAGTTCACAACAAATTTTAACATACAATTGACCAGATTGATTAGTAAATAAAACATGAAGTAATAACCATTACTATAATATGAAAAACCTATTCTAACAAGCATTTTAACATCCTAAACATTCATTCAATTCATTTCAAAAGAAAAGTTTAAGAATTCTACTTCACAAAGCAGGTGTCACACACAGTAGAAAACTTCATTAAATCAAAGTAAATCCACTAGATAAGTGTTTACAACAAGTATAAGATAATGAAGAACACAATAACTTAGTTTTTTTCCTCTGAAAGAAAGATGAAAATCTCTTCAACAAAGTCTCCTGCTGATTCATGCAATGCTAATACAATCCCGTACGTATATCTCTCAAAATCCCTCTCCAATCTTTACAGGGAAGGTAAAAATTTGCATTTCTTACTCTTATCTACGACATCTCGGCCTTCCTGGAGAATTCTAAGACTTAGAAATGCCAAAAAGTATTTTTCCAAACGTCCAGATCCGTCAAATATCTTCTTGGGGCGTGCATAAACTGACCTTGGACAGTTCGGGCGCCCAGACACCATCTTCTCTGTTTTCTGGGCGGAGACATGCTCCTTGGCTCCACCCTGCTGGCAGAACCTCCATTTGCTCACGTTTGACTCTGTTTCGCCTCATTTTAGCTCCAATTCGCTCCAAGTGTTATGCCTGTAAGATAAACATGAAAATAACATTTCTTTAAAGTGCAATTTCATTCAAAAACATGTGACAATTTCATTCAATCAAAAACATGTGATAAATGTAAAGAAAATTAAGCATAAAAAAAACATCAGATTCCCAAGTCTTTTTAGGTTTATCTCTGCCTTTCATAATATAAGTCGAATCTAAAATATCTTTTATTGTACATATAAGCTAAATTCTAGTTGGACTTCCATATGAACCCTCTTTTATTTCACCATATAAAAAGGCATTTTTCATATCAATTTGTGGTTTATTGCCTTCTCTCTTGGCTAATGATGATGAGCTATCTCAAATAGTGCTCATTATAGGAACTTGAGTAGAGGTTTTAAGATATTCAATCCCATATATTTGAATTTAATTTTTGGCTAGTAGTTTGATTTTATTTCTTTCTGGTGAAACTTTCCTTACTTTAGCATTTTGCTTTTTGATCATAGATTTCTCAAGGTTGTTGAGACCACTTCCTTAAAGAAGTCCATTCGTCCTTTGGTCCATTTCCTCCAATTCCTTAATGATATAATATGAAGGATAACACAATACTGCTTTTGTAAAATTAATTTATCAACATGTTATCCATTCAAAATCCAATTGACATATCAAAGTTGTGAAATATTGTTTAAAAGATTATCTCCGTAACCAATCATGATTGTTAAAATTCCATTGATCATAGTAATTTTTTTGTTGGTAAGAGAAGTGGTTTGTGAAATAAATTTGTGAGAGGTGTTAATCATAGGGGGTATTTAGCTGTTGAATCAATGATCCAAGAGCCAGAAATTGGCGTCAATAAACTGTAAAGGCACGGGAAGAGAAGGTAATACATGAGAATGATAGATTATAAATAGATGTTGTAGATGTTTTTTCGAGTGCTCTTAGCAAGCCTTTTTTTAATCTTTCTACCCTTTATAAATGACCTACGTTTTTAATCTCTTTAAGAATCTGTGAACCAATGAATCATTTTGCATAGTTTTTCCGTTCAATTGATATGATGAATGGATGCTTTGCAACTCCCCTACTGGATTTAGATTGCATTTCTCAGTTTCTAGGGAACTCTTGGCGGAGGTTTGACGGTATTGTTGTTATTCCCCATGTATATGGTAAATAGAAAACGAAAGAAAATGACAATGCAACAATGAAGGTTGCAATGATGGGACATGTTTGCAATAGCGCATCAATGGAAAGCTACGATAATGAGAAATATGTGACAATGCAACACTGATGGTTGCAGTTACGGAAACATAGGAGAAAAAGAGAGAATGTAGCAGTAAAAGCAGTAGATTTGGGATGTCGTGATGAAGCCTGCAGTGATGAAAATATATGGAATTGGAAAAGGGCACTTATATTATGATAAGAATTGGAGAGAATGTGGTGCGTGTAATTTATTTTAATATGTACAAAATTTATGACTCCTAGGAGTGCATCTGATAGAAAAAAAAATGAAATCTGGAAATTAAATTAATTACAAAATAATAGCAATAGTCTAAGGTTTGATAACTAAGGCTGAAGGGATCACACAGATTACTGAGATGGTGATAAATAAAAGGGAGTTTGTTGAGTGTGGGTCCCAAGTATTTGTTACATATTACTACCTCTTCTGGTGACTGGATGTCTTGTGGAGAGATCGTATGCACTCAAATGTTCTCCATTAATGAAAGGCTTATTGTCACAAGCCACAACTGTTTGAAGAAAGGATCTGAATCTTATTATTGTTTGCTGCTTGGAAGTTTAAAGATTTTCTCTTTAACCATTTTCAAATTCACCTGTTGACATGGATGACTACTGAATCTTATGATGTCGAATTACCCATAAGCAAAAACTGTGAATGGGTTATAAGTTCTTGAAGCCTTGGAGTGTTAATACAATTTCATTCTAAATTTGAACGTGTTGATTCCTCTTGTTTGGTTGGATCGTGCATGCACATCTTACCTTTTCTATAATTGTTTCTAATGAGGTATAATTACTTTGTTAAGCAAATGATTTAGTCATAGATTTTGGGCTTGTATCTAGTAAACTTTGCATAGGATGGCTGGACGGGTCAGGGCGACAATAGGCTGAGATGCTGGAGAAACTTACGACAGCAGCGGATGAGTTTGGGGTGTTTTGCGATAGTAGTAGGGGTGGAGCTAGCGTTGACGGTAGGGAAACATAAAGGATAGGGGCGCAGGTAAGATTGGAGCAAGCAGGGAGGGGAATAAACAATGGATTATGTGGGAGATATCACCCCTTTGGAGTAGGGTACAACTGGAGCACCACTTATCTTCAGATACAACCTTAGCAAGGGAGATACACCGACAAGAAATCTGAAAGCAACAAAAACTAAACCTTAAACAAAAAAAAATAACATATTTATAATAAAGGATAACTATGCGGGGGAAATCCCTTCCCTTGGGTGGCTGCCCTAACCCAAGCAGGGTTCGGTTGGTTCAGCCTCCCTGTAGGCACTTGCTGAACCACTTAAGCCAGTGTCAGTTTTCTGGGGCTGATGGAGCTTTGACTTCATTTGTTGAAGCTTCTGGCTCTTCGTAGCACGACTTTAAGTTCGCTACTTTGAACATAGCAGAAACATTATTGTTCTCTGAGAGGTCGATCTTATAAGCATTATCGTTCAACTTCTTGAGGATTTTGAAAGGTCAATCTGCTTTAGGCTTGAGTTTCCCGAATGCTCCCATCTGAAATCTTGTTTTCTTCTACCGGATCCACACTAATTCCACTTTTTGAAAAGTCACCTTCTTTCTAGTCTTATTTGCCCGTGTCTGGTACTTGCGGTTTTCTTTAATGATCTGCTTCTAACCTCTTCGTGGAGCTTCTGAATCTCTTGCTTCCATTTTTCAGCATTCTCATTAATCTCTGATGTTGTCACGAGAGGTTCCAAGTCAAGTGGAGTGAGTGGGTTGCACCCATACACAATCTCAAATGGGGTGCGTCCTGTAGTCTGGTCAACGGATCTATTGTAAGACAACTCGGCTTGAGCTAGAATAAAATTTCATTGTTTAATATACTTTCCGACAAATCACCTCAGCAAGTTACCCAGACTTTTGTCACTACCTTCATGTTACTGTTCGTCTGTGGGCGAGCTGCTGAACTAAATTAAAGCTTAGTGCCTGGCTTCCCCAACATGATCCCCCAAAATTGACTCAAAAACTTTACATGTCCGGCGGAAGTGATGCTGTTTAATCTTAGAGCTCTTATTCTTTACGGCTTACTGAAATTTAAATTACTTCTCCAATTCTCATTACCTTTTTCATTTATTTCTGAGAATCTCTTTTTTTTTTTCTGTAAACATTTTCGCATGATTCATGTGCATCCTATTCTGTTTGCCTTTTTTTTTATTTTAAACTGCTCTAGTACCATATTTTTTAAAATTCTTTTACCTTTTTTTTAGAATAGGATTTGCATTAGTTTGTATTCCAAGAAGATATACAACCATTCTTGCCTCACTAATTAAAAAAAATTTAAGGAAAATTCTTATATCAGTCATTAAATGAATGTCTTTTAGCTATGAATTTTTAAGTGATTTTCTCATGACACTAGGCTTTCTTTGTATCCAATGTAACACTTATTGAATACTTTCTAAATTATCATACACGTATCAAGTTTATCTTAATGGCTGGAGAGGAATCAGAGGGTTGGTGGCAGCACAGGAGGGTTGGCGGGAAGAGGGCGGCAGCAGGTGGAGATGTAGGAGGAGGTTGCAATGGAGAGGGATTGGGGATTGCCAGTAGCACAAGAGGTATGGAGGAGTGAGGGCGGCAGCAGGTTGAGTTGCTGGAGGGACTTATGCTTGCAGCAAATGGCGTTGGGGTGTTTTGCAGCAGAAGTTGGGGATCAAGTTAGGGTTGGTGGCAGGGAAATTGGAAGGATAGGGGTGAAGGTAAGATTCATCAAGCAGGGGGGGAGGGGGGGATAGGCAATGGGATATGTGGAGATAATTACCACCTTAGAGCATGATATAGCAGGAGCAGCTGTTCTCGAATACAGGACATAGCAAGGGAGAGATGTTGAAGACAAGAAATCTAAAGGCAACAAAAATTAAATTCTAAATGGGAAAATAACCTATTTATAATAAAAACGCCGCCGCGTCAGTTTGAATCACTTAAATTGCTTCTGATGTTTCACATAGACTTTCACCATGTGGGGCCTCATTTAAGCAAGCAATAAGCACACAAAAAAAGATGGACCAATAATGAAGGATCTAATTTAGATATGGGTATTGGGATGCTGTTTAAACTTAGAGTTCTTATTCTCATGGCTTACTGAAATTTAGATTACTTCTCCAATTCTCATTACCTTTTTTATTTGTTTCTGAGAATCTCTTGTTCTTTCTTCTGTAAAATAATTTTACATCGTTCATTTTCTCACGATTCATGTGCATCCTATTCTGTTAGCCTTTTTTTTTATTTTAAACTACTCTAGTACCGTATTTTTTTAAAATTCTTTTACCTTCTTGTTTTTAAATAGGATTTTCATTAGTTAAGTTATGCTTTATTTAAGAAAGGTCTTCATTTGTTTTCTGCTAAAGTTTTGTATTCCAAGAAGAATTATTGCCATTCTCGCATCACTGATTAAAGAAATTTTAAGGTAAATTCTTATATCGGTCATTAAATGAATGTATTTTAGCTATGAATTTTAAAGTGATTTCTTCGTGACACTAGGGCTTTCTTTGTATCCAATGTAACACTTAGTGAATCCTTTCTAAATTGTCACACATATGAAGTTTGATGTATCTTAATGGATATTTTGGTGAGCATTTAGTTCTAGTTTTCTATTTATCTAACAATCTTTTCCTTTGATACATTTTGCAGGCTTCTTCCAGTTTCTATTCTCCGAACATGAGTATTGGGAATGGGCAATTTCTTCCTTTGCTGAAACGGCTTGATGACTGCATCTCGTAAGTTATCCCTTGCTCCCTTACACTGTTTGGAACTCTTTCTTTGCAAAGTACAACTTTGATCGGGTCATTGATTTAATGAGCTTAGGTATGTTGAGAGTAATCCACAATATGCAGAATCGGCAGTGTACCTAGTGAAGTTTCGACAGCTTCAGGTACTTTTTTGGTTGCAAGCTTACTAATGCTGATTTTTTAATATCAAATTAATGTATTTATAATCACTGGGAGAATGTCTCTTTCACCGGGTCGCTAGGAGACTATTTTTTAAGCTTTTCATTTCTGAGAATTTAGAGGTCAATAACATGGTTTCTGCACAAAGATTGACACACGATCAAGAAATTGTCTAGGTTTTGGACAGGCATCTTTGGGCATGTACATAAAAAGTGCACCAATTGGGCTGTTAGATGAAATTAATTTGATGGATTAAGAAAGAATAAGTAGACTAGCAGTTACATGGATTGCCATGAATGAATGGAATATGAGGATTCACAAAATGACCCCAAAATAGGTTGTACAAGGTTAATACTGTTGAAAATATTTTTTGGGAACTGAGAGAATCCAGTGTACTTTTTCACTTGTAATTTTTCTTGCTATAAGATGGATGGAGTTGGTGTAAGGCTAATAATGTACCTAGATAGGGAGGTGAGGGAAAGACTGGTACAAGAATAATAATGTTCTCACATCGTTGGTGTAAATTAATAATTTGAAGATGTTTTTTAGGTGGGATTAATGAATGGCCTTCATGCCAGCTTCAGGTGTATCGGGCATTTCTACTATTGTTTCCCATCACATCAAGAGTTGGGAATCGGTCAATTGCTAAACTTTTCTTGAAATGCCTACTAGTAGTTCCATACTGTGAAACACATGTTTGTGTGTGCTGTTGATATATCACCATATCTAGCTGCTGACTTTTGTCTCAAGGTTTTGGTTAATGGGATTGTTGCTAGTGAGTTTTTTTATCTAGCAGATGGCGCCAAATAAAAGTTCGTAACCTCTCCAAGCATGCACCTCCTACTATTTGAAATGATTTGATTGTTGAAACTCGGCAACACAGAATGTTCTGGCTGTCAAAATTCGGTTTGGGATCCTGAAATTTCTAAAATGGGACTGGATGGGCATATGGTAGAGTTATAAAATTCAAAGCATCCAAACAATAAAAAGTCGTTAATCCACCAATGTTCTTATACATCACTGAAACACATGAGAATGTCCAGCTTGTAACAATGCTGGTGAAGAAAAGAAACTGACCACAGTAACAATATTGTTTGATTACTATTTTCATTTGCTCCTCTGTTTTGATAAACATATTATTTTTTGTCTGTCATTTTAATTGAAAGGAGCTTTTCCTCAAATAAGTAGTTAAACAATTTAAGTTATACATCTTATTGAATAATCACAATTTTACTGTGTACTAAACTTATATGCACATCCTCTAACATGAATGCTGTTAAAAAAATAATTAAATGTTAAAAGTTTATTCATTTAAAACTTCTAATTATTTGTATTATTTAATTAGAATATCTTTAATAAATTTAATTGCATTTTATCTAAAAAAGTATCTCAAGAGCACCATAAAATTTTTGTAACGATCAAGCTGCATTTATTTTTATTTTCTTGCATAGCTACAATAGTGTCCTCAGCTAGTACTATGAGGGGGTTGTTCCTGTGATTGAATTTTATGTTTAATTCATTTGATTTTTTTTATTTTCTAAATCATCAAATCATATGCTAAAATTTAAGTGCAAATGCAACATATGAAATATTTATAATACAGTGAACATTCCTTTGTTTTATCTATACTATAATAGTTTAAGCTTTGAAAATATGAATGCATTTAAAAATAGTAGTATTTAGTAAAGATATAAAAGTAATGATTCACCTTTTTGTCACTTTATAAAGTTAACCTTTAATGATATTTGTTGACTCTTCTGTCCTTTAATTTGCTTTATCACTTCGATTATTGTTTAATCTACAAGTAAACGTGATGTTTAGCTTATAATTAATATGTTATAATTAATTAATTTACATTTATTTTATATTTCATTCAATATATTTATTATTTTAGAACTATTTTAAGAACACAATCATACATGATCTTCGATTACTCTGCAAAATCTTCTTCTAGTTTACAAATTCAGTTATTAATCTTTGTCGATTTCACCAAATCAAAAAATTGAAGGTATTATTTCTAAACAATAATGATTAATTTTTTATTGAGAGGTTTGATGGAGAAGTTCAGAGACAATAAGGAGAATCTACATTTGATTTTTATTGATTTAGAAAAAGCTTACGATAAGGTTCCAAGAGATATCCTTTGGAGAGTTCTCGAGAAGAAATGTGTTGATATGACTTATATTCAAGTCATTAAAGATATGTATACTAGAGCTGTTACTTGTGTTCAAACTGAAGGAGGATTGACAAAATATTTTCCTATTTCTGTTGGTTTACATCAGGGATCGACTTTAAGCCCATATCTTTTTGCTTTAGTTATGGATGGTCTTACTGGACATCTACAAGAGGATGTACCTTGGTGTATGCTTTTTGCTGATGATATTCTTCGCGTGGATAAAACGAGAGAAAAAGCCCAGGAAAAACTTGAATTATGGAGGTCTACATTGGAGTCTAAAGGCCTTCGTTTAAGTAGAACTAAAACTGAATACATGGAATGTAATTTTAGTAGTAATAGCTCTAGTGACAGAAGTGTGACTTTGGGTGATCAAATTATTAAAAGGTGTGAACGATTTAGATATCTTGGGTCCGTTGTCCAAAGCGATGGTGATATAGATGGGGATGTTAATAGTAGAATTCAAGTTGGTTGGTTGAAGTGGAGGAATGCTTCGGGCCTTTTGTGTGATAGAAAAGTACCGCTAAGACTGAAAGGAAAATTTTATAAGATGGTGGTGAGACCTGCAATGCTCTATGGCGCTGAATGTTGGCCTTTAAAAGAGAAGCATAATAATAAGTTAAGTGTTGCCGAGATGAGAATGATTAGGTGGATGAGTGGCTTTACACTTAGAGACAAAATGTGGAATGAATATATTCGTGATAGGGTTGGTGTAGCTCCTGTGACAGACAAAATTAGAGAAAGTCGTCTTAGATGGTTTGGTCATATTAAACGTCGACCATTAGATGATCCGATTAGGAGAGTAGATGTTTTAAATTCGACTTGTGTTAAGAAAGGCAGAGGTAGACCTAGGAAGACTTGGGCTTATTGTATTAAAAATGATCTTAATTTACTAGAACTAAATGAAAATATGACACTAAATAGGACGCAATGGAGAAAAAGGATTCATGTAGCCGACCCCACGTAGTGGGATTAAGGCTTTGTTGTTGTTGTTGTTGTTGAAACTTTCCTGCTTCATTATACTTAGTGTAGTTAACTTAATAGTAAAATTAGAGGTTTAGTATTAGTTTGGTAGAATTCCCTAGATCTCATTAAAAATCAAACATATTTCCTAGCTTAGACTACTTAAATTCAGTTAGAACTTTTCTTAAGTATGTCCAATTTACGACCTTCCTTTTGGGTTCAATATTCGAGACTAAAGAAAGTCATATATTACTTGAATGATACGTGTATTTGCATTAATACCTAGTGTGAAGTGATTAAACGTGAAAAATTAAGTTATTAAATTTATAAAATATTTTAAAAATTATAATATTTAAATCTTAAATCACTAGGTGTACCGTAGAGATTTGTGTTCAAACTTAAGCCATACATCACGAAAATCTTAAATCACTAGGTGTACCGTCTACATTTGATTTTTATTGATTTAGAAAAAGCTTACGATAAGGTTCCAAGAGATATCCTTTGGAGAGTTCTCGAGAAGAAATGTGTTAATATGACTTATATTCAAGTCATTAAAGATATGTATACTAGAGCTGTTACTTGTGTTCAAACTGAAGGAGGATTGACAAAATATTTTCCTATTTCTGTTGGTTTACATCAGGGATCGACTTTAAGCCCATATCTTTTTGCTTTAGTTATGGATGGTCTTACTGGACAATCTACAAGGTGATGTACCTTGGTGTATGCTTTTTGCTGATGATATTTTTCTCGTGGATAAAACGAGAGAAAAAGCCCAGGAAAAACTTGAATTATGGAGGTCTACATTGGAGTCTAAAGGCCTTAGTTTAAGTAGAACTAAAACTGAATACCAGGAATATAGTTTTAGTAGTAGTAGCTCTAACGGTAGAGTTGTAGCCATGGGTGATCAAATCATTAAAGGGTGTGAACGTTTTAGATATCCCAGGTCTATTGTTCAAAGTGATAGTGATATAGATAGGAATGTTATTAGTAGAATTCAAGTTGGTTGGTTAAAGTGGAGGAATGCATTTGGTCTATTGTGTGCTAGAAAAATACTATTTAGACTGAAAGGAAAATTTTATATGATGGTGGTGAGACTTGCAATGCTCTATGGGACTATAGAATATTGGCCATTAAAAAGAAGCATAAATAAAGTTAAGTGTTGCTGAGATGAATATGTTTAGGTGGATGAGTGACTTGACACTTAGAGACAAAATACGAAATGAATATATGGCGGATAAGATTAGAGAGAGTAGTCTTAAATGGATTGGTCAGATTAAACATCGACCATCTGATGAGTCGACCATTAGATGATCCGATTAGGAGAGTAGATGTTTTAAATTCGACTTGTGTTAAGAAAGGCAGAGGTAGACCTAGGAAGAATTGGGCTTATTGTATTAAAAATGATCTTAATTTACTAGAACTAAATGAAAATATGACACTAAATAGGACGCAATGGAGAAAAAGGATTCATGTAGCCGACCCCACGTAGTGGGATTAAGGCTTTGTTGTTGTTGTTGTAATGATTAATTTTTTACTATTTTACTTTAATTTATAAATTTTTTAAATTACATATGTTATATTTTCTTTTCTTATTTAGCATTACAAACATAACTTCAAACTTTTTTATCCTTATAAATTTCAAAATTTTAACTTTTAAGTTTTTAATGGACAATTTCATAACATTAAAATATTATAGAAATAAGATTTCAGCCTATGATAATTTAATTCTAAATATTTCCACTGACATGAAAGATATAAATATAAACTTATCTTGATTCTTTTCCTTGAAAAACCAATGATCTCTTTATAATTTTTGGATTCATATGCCTTTGCAACTTTTGACTTAATAAACTTAAAACTGGATTTATTATAAGTTAAATTAAAGAAAAGCAAAACCTAACCTTGTTTATCTGTCTCTTCCCTTTTTTTTGGTGTCCAACTTTGCATACGGTAGAACCTTAGCTTCCGTATAGGACCTTTGTCACTGATCATCATCTGCAATTGACATTGTCGATCATCGCTGCTCAAGATGTCAGTTCTCGTGCATGCTTCACTGACCACTCGATCAACACTCTCTCATACGACTTTGCTCTGCTTGTCTCCTTCGTCTCTTTGTTTGCATGGGGCGTTGTCTCACTCCATCATCACACAATTTTGTCTCTCCCTACCTTCCTCTCTATTTTCTTTGCCTTAGTTTTTAATTTGCACTAGATGAATTATATTCACCCCCTCCTTTTCTTCCTAGTTATGATGTACAAACACTTCTAATTAAAAAGTTTTGCGGTCTTGGATACGTATTTGAGATGGACACTGCTTCGACACGTGTCACATTCGTCATAGAAGTGTTTGCTTTAAATAATATTAAAAGAAAATGACACACCGAGCACACACTGAATGGGCAGGACACGTTTTAAATTAATGAATTAAAAATTTCTGATATTTTAATGATTATAATTTAAAAAAAAATATATTTTTATAAAATTTTAGAAATATTTAAATACATATCAATTAATTTTTTTTTGTATTTATATTATTACATATCTAGCATAGAAATTTCAATTTTTGCATATATGTCGCATTACATAAAATATGAAAATGAGTATTTCACTTTTTAAAACTGAAAATTGTGGTATATTAGATGTGTTATGAAAGATTTGTGTAGCATAAAAGAAAAAGAAAAATTTAAGTGTTAGATATATAAATATATAAGATTTTGGTGCTAAAGAAACCCATGATATATTTAATATATGCTTACGAAAAATTTAAGTGTTAGATATATAAATATATAAGAATTTGGTGCTAAAGAAACCCATGATCATTTTTTTTAATGAATAATTGATTAAGAGGACTTAAATTTTGATACAATACAAAATAATATATGCTTACTTTTATACATTTTAATTATTTTAAATGCAATTTAATTTATTTTTAAAGGTAAAATAAAATTTATAAAAATTATTTTAACTAAAACAAGAAAAAAAATGATGTCAAATGTGTTCTTAGTTTTTAAAAGTAAGTGTTATTAAATTTCTTATTTTCTTATTTGTATTATTCTTAATATTTTATTTATTTAAATTTTGTATATATTTGAATAATTTTTATTATAATGGTGTGTCCGATGAATGGCCGTGTCTGATGTTTTCAATAATAGATGTGTCCCGCGTCCGTGCAACATAGCTTCCTAATAGCAAAGCTAGCTCGTTGAACCAATGCAGCCGGCTAATTAATTATTTTTTTGTTGGTATTTTCCACTGTCTATCTTGATGTCTTTCTCACATTCATCGCCAGTGTTGGTTTCCCTTGAAAATGATGCTTATGCCATCTTATGCATTCTCATCTCGCCTAGGAGCTAAGATAATTTCGGTAACATTTTTTCGGCGACATTGAGACCCTTCTTTACTCATTTGAAAGTAGGAGTTTAATGTGATTAACAGTTATAAGTTACTAAATTAAACATTTTATTTCATGATGGTCATGTTAGAGGAAAGCAGTTGAAATCCCAGAGAGGATATGCGGTTTAATTGCTTAGTATGTTTTTTTTTTGCATGTTGAGTATTTCGGAAAGAGTACCGAGTATTGATGTTTGACAAAGAGGGGTGAGAATATTTTGGGAGCTCTTTGCTTTGTAGGTTTTGAAATGAATTTAGTTGAAGCAGCCAATTTTGAGCTTTTATTGGTGTGCTTTTCTTTTTTTCCTTTCATCACTGCTGACAAAGATTGAAATATTTTACAACTTTTTTATGAAATATAATGTTGCTATTGTTTGAAGTAAATTCCCCTTTTCTTTTAAAGATTTCATTTTCGTTCCATTGAGTATTATATTTCTTGTTCTTTCTATTTTCTGATGATGGATAACTTTACGTAAGTCAGACTATGTTGTTAAAGTAAATGCTGTTTTTTTGTTGCTGTAGTCTCGTGCATTAGGTATGATACGATCTCATGTCCTTTCAATTCTCAAAACTGCCGATGTTCAGGTAATTCCACATTTATATTTTGTAATGCCACTTTACGTAATGTTGACTTGGACTCCATTTCTATACTTCCTCTTTGTTTCTTATGTAGGTACAAGCTGCAATTCGAGGCGGTGGTTCAAATAAAGCATCTTTAGCAGAAGGTGTTGAAGAATCGGTTATTTATGTACGTTTTAAAGCAGCAGCTGGCGAGGTACTGGTTCACCTTTCGACATTTTGTTTAAGCCATGGTTTTGCAGTTGTCTTTCTTTTCTTTTTGGATGGATTTCTAGCTATGCATTTAATGAAAGTTTTCAGTATAGAAAGAGTTGAAACTAGTGCCCAAATATGTAGCACATTGGTTGAAAAGAAAAGTGAAAATTCCCAAGGTTTTGGGTTCGAGTGCTCATACTGCCTGAAAAAAAAAATTGTGTTGAAGGCATTGAATTATTCTGCTTACTCTCGTGCCTACTGACTTGCTTGTGTTTTATTGCAGCTCAAACCTATTTTAGAGGAAATCGAAAGCAGGTCTTCGAGGAAAGAGTATGCTCAGATTTTAATAGAATGCCACAGTATGTATTGTGAGCAGAGACTATCCTTGGTGGGTTAATGTTTATTTCTTTCTTTCGAGTAACCTATTTATTCTAACAAATAATAACAATTATACTTAGGTAAAAAGTATAGTGCAGCAGAGGATATCTGAATTTGCTAAGAAGGAGGCCTTGCCATCATTGACTAGATCTGGATGTGCATATTTAATGCAGGTGCGCTTTTTCCTGTTATTTGATACAATTTTCTGCTGTAAGAAATAATAGGAGACTTGTTCCCAATATTATTTTGAGCTTATCATGGATTCATGTTGCGGCATTCTCTCATGTGATTTATGGTGGTCATCTTTATAGTCAAAGTATTCTCTACCTTCAAAGTATTTTCTACCTTTATGTTTGTTGATTATTATTTTTTACCAACTTGGAATATTTCACAAATGGATCACATGCATTGTTAGCTGTCTATTAATTGGAGGTGTGCATTGTGTGCTATATGATCGAAGTTGAGTCTAATTATACAAATTGCACTAATTGTAACCTGCAGTTGGACCTTTACCACAACTGAAAATGTAGCATTTTTAGTTTTGTTGACGCCTAACTAGTTTAACCAGTGAAATATTGGGTTCGGTTGTTTTTCTTGAAATTGAACTGTAATTTTTTCATTACATTTATGTGTATGGCTTGTTTCTTTTCATTCGTTTTTCTTGAAATTGAACTGTAATTTTTTCATTACTTTCTTTTCATTGGGAATGCGGTCTATTTGTATTTCTTTTTCAAGTTTATTTTAAGTGTAGGAGCGTATCTATGGTGTTGAATCCTATATGAGACTGTTGTGTTCTATAATTTTTTTAATAAACTGTTGCGCAACTCATTATTGCATGGTTTTAAATTTGCTGATTAAAATATAATCAGCATCTTTGGATTTCATAAACAGTTCCATAATAAGATTGATTACTTTCTACTGACTATTATTTTCTTCTCATGGTATTGTTAATGTATTTATAGCTGTTGTTTCTGTTTTTTTTTCTTTTTTTTGTTAACTTTCTCACTTGCTATTAGTAACACTTTGGTTATGTGTTACCTGTCACAATTCCCATCAACTTCCCGCTATACATTGTCGCTGTTACCTCCTGCTATTGTCACTATTTGCTACATGTCACCTCAGACTTTCCTGCCAATCTACTGCACGCTTCTTTGCCTTTCTTGCTAGGTTACTATTGCTGCCTTCTAATTGTCTCATTCAGAGCATACTGGTGCCACATTCGCACAATTGGGTCTCCTGTTGGTGTATTGTTTTGAAAAAAAAATATTTGTCTTTATCCTAAAGCAATTCTACAATTAGAAGTTATGAAGAAGCTTATACTCCTGGTGTTCATACTAGATGCATCAGAACCTTCCGGTACATTTTAGTAGATTTCTATTTTTTTGTGTAATTTTGTATTTTTTAACATCTGAAGCCGATAAATAGTACGTCTCAGGCATGTAAAATTCATTGGAGATTTAATATTGAAATAAATATTCATTTTTTTCCTCTAATTGTGTTTGTTGGGTGTGCGTGCGCTTTTTGAGTGCTTTGTAGGTGTGAACTCCTACTTCTATAGAGGGCTTAGGGAGGGCATTTTGTACTTATGTGAGGCTTACATCTTCTATCTGAGGCAATTTTTATCCATATTTTTGTTTTCTAATTTGTTTAGCCACTGATTATATATTTGTGATTCAGATTTTGTAAGAGTAAGAGGCATGCCGCAGTTTTTTAAGCATAAATTTGATTAGTTGTTGAATTTTTCCAGAATTTAATATTTGTTTGATGATTGAACTATCTTTTTGTATGAGCCAAGCAATTATGCTTTTCTTATATTAAATCCAACAAGTTTTCTATGAACTTGATAATTAGTGTCCTGCTAACTATAATTTTTTTGTGTTTTCTTATTTCATCCCATTATTAATTGCATAAGTATCACTAGATCTTTAAACATCCTACATCAAATTGGTATCAAAGCTTATAACTACGTTGTTACATCAACTACAGTAAGACATAACACGTGGGCCAATATAAGGAAATTGCTAGTTTATGTTTAAGAAAAAAATTGGCAAATCATGATTCCTAACAAATACAACATAAGTATTAGAAGAATTAAGGCTGTAAACCTAATTCAACGAAAGACATAGCCTATATATATTTTTTAGAATGACTCAATGATTTGGAATAGCTTGTGCCATTTAGGGTTGTAAACGAATCGAGCTTGAGCGAGCTCAGGCTTGCCTTGTGTTCGGCTCTTTCGAAACTGCTCGTGTTTGAAATCGGCTCGTTTTTGAAATTGACTCGTGAACAGTGTGTTCGTGTTCGACTTGATTTAATTATTCGTGTTCGTGTTTGACTCGTGTTTGGCTCGAAATTGACTCGTTAAATTTAAATTGAAAAAATGAGATGTAAAGTGTTGGATTCAAACCTGGACCAAATGTATGCAAAAGAAGACATTAACCTCGTTACCACACGAGGTGTTATGATTTAAACTTAGATATAAAAATATATATAATATTATTATATAAATAATATATGTAATATATTATTATATAGATAATTATATATATGTTTTTCTATTTTGAGCTAAAACGAGCCAAACACGAGCAAACAAAGAACAGTTTGTGTTCGGTTCGTTTATAATTTGAGCTTTAAAAATTTGTTTGTGTTCGGCTCATTTATTTAACGTAAACGAGCCGAACACGTTGTTCGCGAACAACGAGCTATTTTGACAGCTCTAGCGCCATTGTTTAATTTTGAAAAGACTAAACTCGTTGAAATGAATATGGTTGGACAAGTCCAAACTTATTAGTGTAGTATTGCAAGCAAAACAAACTCAAAATGGGCTGACATCGAACAATATGTACCATATTAAAAAGATCAGGACTAATTGAATAATCGCTTTAAAGATTGTGAACAAATTGATTATTGTATGTCTTCAGATAACAGTAGTACAAAATGTATCTAAGTGTGTTTAATGAACACATTGATAAAATGAATCTTGAAGGGGAATAAACAAATTTTCTGTTAAGGATGATAAATTGATTTAACTTACTGATAACCTCTTGATAAAATATTAGGATTATATTAGCTCCGCCAATCAAGCTGAAATCAAATTTGTTTTTAATTATTATTTTCGTAACATACAAATTCTTGAAGAAAGATACATAGAGAAACCAAAATGACATCAACATTTCAATTGAATTGTTTATAACGAAAGCCTTAACACAAACAAACTTTTTATAGTTTTGTCAAATCTAAAGCTCTATAAATCTGTAATTATAGTATTTACGCCACTTGGGGTGGATTTATCTAAAATGATTGTTCATTCATTATGTTGTGATATCATTATCTCTGATTATATAAGAGTAGGCAATGAATCATTATTGATACTCGTCAGGATGCATATCGGTAGTTTAGTATCTTTATTATGTTCCTTATTTAATTTATATGGTTTGCATGAAGAATTTTATGGAAAAAAACAATAATTAAGGAAATAGTAAGTATCATATAGGTTTAAACATGATACATGAAATTCAAGCTAAATAAGATAGTGATTTATATAAATCGAAAAAGGTTTCTTGTATGAGCTTTTAAAGATTGAAGCATAAGGAAGGTCGGATATGTAAATATTTTTAACACAACAGGCTTATGTGTCGCACCCTACTATGACTCCTTGGTCAAGTATAAGCTGTGACAATCTTATCTGACCAACTGATTGAGTATACTTGCAACATATTTTGGAATTCTACCCATTAGATTAAATAGGTGTTAAACTCAATCATCTGAATGATACAAACCAAAATATGCAGTATAACCCAACTTAGATGGAGATCTAATAAGATAATGCAATCCATTGTTATGTAAGCATCCCAAAACATTTCAATAAACTTTAAGCTTCTAATAAACATTAGAGCATTCATGCATCATATTTTTATGATAAAATTACTTTAACATGATTTATATCTTACACTAAATCAAACATCAAAATTTATTAAATCTAAAATTTAATCCTCACTCAAACTTAACTTTGACGTCTCGAATAATATTTCAGTGAACCATAAATTTTATCATGATATATAAAATTTAAATACCTAAAAAGTGAAACAACTTGACATGTTTAATCAAAATTTTACATAAAGTTCAAATTATGATCAATTGCATGTAATCATTATGAAATTGAATTTTTTAAATTTATTAAGTTAATTTTATTGGAACAAATCATAGCAAAAAACCTGAAAGCTTAATCATGCAATATGTTAGTCACGTATAATAGTGATTACACACAAGATCATTTGAATGGCACTCACTAGCTTATTTCATTTTTTTCACAACATAACATATATTGTCATGCCTAACATGTCTTTTCTTTGTGGGCTCTAAAAATTTTGATACCCTAAACTCTTTGCTGCTGTTGTTGAGAGCTTTAATGGTCAAATTTTTAGAAGACAAATTGGATTATAGATATGGTTGTAAACTAACCGAGCTTGAGCGAGCTCAGACTTGACTTGTGTTCGGCTTATTCAAAATTGCTCGAGTTTGAAATCTGTTCATGTTTGAAATTGGTTCATGAATGATGTACTCGTGTTCAGCTCGAAATTGATTTTTTAAAATTATTTGGAAAAAATAGATATAGGATGTTGGATTCAAATCTAGACCAAATCTATGCAAAAGAAGAGACATAACCACATCACCGCACGAGCTGTTATGCTTTAAACTTATATATAAATATGTATAAAATTTTTATATAAATAATATATAATATATTTTTATATAAATAATTATATCGTTTTTCATTTCGAGCTAAAACGAGCCGAACATGAGCAAACAAAATGTTCGTGTTCGACTTGCTTATAATTTGAAATTAAAAAAAATGTTCATGTTTGACTCCTTTACTCAACAAACTAGCAGAACACGAGCTGCTTAACGGGCCAAACACGAGTTGCTTAGCAAGCCAAATACGAGCTATTTGCGAACAACGAGATTTTTGACAACCTTAATTGTAGGCGAGCCACTACTGAGATATCTCACTCTTATTTTTGAGGACTTTTTGATATAGTGTTCAAGGTTTCCCATAGATGCAAGCCCGTATATTTAATTACGTCTCTTGATGACGGAAGAACACTTTCAATTAGGATTAATGATTAAACATTGAGTATTTAAAACATATAGTTTGAAGTTATTGAATTTATCA